GTGAGAATATTGGCTACTTCCCGCAAGCGCCTACTGACCTGTAGAGAATGGATACCGGAGCCATGGTCATTCTGGGAAAGATTAGGGAGGACCTCTTCATGAGTGGACTCTCAAAAAGGCGTTGATCTGCGTGGTAAAGCTCACATTAGCGCAGAAATTGGTGGAAAAACCGCGGAAGCGTTACCGTGCAGTTCCGAAACAAGGCACTACGTGGGTACACTCGCTGTTCAGATCAGAATACAGAATTGAGATTCCAAGAAAACATATATTCACGCATAGAGAGGCCCTTTTCAGTATTTACCTGTACTACACCATACACTCCGTTTGGTAGCCCGGCAGCGGTAAGAATCTCTCCAAGGAGTACTGCGGAGGCTGGAGCGAATGGTGATGGCTTATATATGACTGCGTTACCGGCAGCAAGGGCCGGTGCTACCTAAAATTGTTTGATGTCTTATCAGGTGATCATAGTGTGTTATGCCCTTCTATTACCTTCCAAACGCAGGTTTGGAATGGATAATTCCATGCTCCAATGCAACCGACAACACCGAGCGGTTCACGACGAGTGTAGGCGAAGCGCTGCGTTGGACCACCGGGTAGGTCGATTTGATCACCTGGACAAAGAAATCGGTAGAAAAACGAATTACACTATTGAGCTAATAAAGAGGTAGAACATTGGAAGGGAGGGGGTAAGGATGATTAGGCGAGGCATGTAGGGGAATATTCCCAGTGGGAAGAGAAGCTACATTACTATGCTGTATGCTATGTGCAATCCTGCTTCCATGGCGGAAGGAGCTCTACATGGCTCAACAAAGACCTACAAGCCAGGCTGGCCCACCTCCAATTAGAAGATCCGCCCACAAGTACACGTGTCATCCACAGCGGGACAGCTACACTGTTCATGTTCAGAACGCAACCAGATTCGAGGCCAGGTAGATTGGCCGAATCCAACAGGGAGTCGCGTATTTGGTCGCTGGGAAAGGAAGGCGTCGACGCTCTGAAGGCAGGACGTCGCTATTTACTTTGCTCTTTAGAGAGGGGAGGTCTGCTTTCTAGGTCTCCTGAAAGTTCTGAAGGCGACCTGTTGACTCCTTTTTTCGCTGCGTGGCCTCTTCCTATTTCACATGCGTCTCATTCCTTCCCCCTTCCCCTCGCTAACAGCAATTTTTGAGGTAGAACTAAGAAAGTTTTGGGAATCCCGGAATACTGGCAGGAAATTCGGGGATGAGAAAGTGGTTGGTAGAGATGGGAAGAAAGGGGGGAAGGCGTATTTTCCTTACTGCTTTCCTGTTTCGCATGTCGCTACATTCACTCCTCCGAATGAGGGGGCAGTAGGGGGGAGGGGCAGGAAAGAGTGTCCATACACGATCGATCCAAACCCCAAACGATTGTCCCCTGAGTTCGATTAGAGGGAGGCAACCCAGGCTGTACGCGGGAAAGCGCCACAAAAACTTCAGCGTTCTCTGAACAAAAGACAATCTGAGAAAAAAAACCTGGCACTATTCAACTATTACTACCCCAGTTTTGCGAAAACAGGCCGGATCTTGATCGACTTTTTTCTACGGGGGTGGATTTGGCTGAAAGTTGGGTTCTAGGGGTAATTAGGACCTCCTAAACGCGAATATCACATCCACTTGGCCCTGAATGCCTGGCTGCCGCCGCCACTAGGCGCCAGTGATTTGGGGCATTTTGGCGCCGGCGCCCGTAGCGCGGACGCGGAGCGGTTCCAAGCCGAGTGAATGTGATATTCATGATTAGGAGGTCAAACTACCCCTAGGTACAAGTTTTCAGCGGATTTCGTGATCTAGGATACTTTGGCGCCGGCGCCTGTGGCGCGGGCGCCAGGCGACTTCGAGAGGAGTGGATGTGATATTCGTGTTCAGGAGGTCGAATTACCCCTAGAACCCAACTTTCAGCCAAATCCACCTCCATTGAAAAAAGTCGATCAAAATCCGGCCCGTTTCCGGAAATCTGGGGTAGTAATAATAATAGTTGAGTAGGGCCAACACCCTTAATATTCTAATAACTTTATATGAACCCTTAAAACTACCATTGCAGCCAGCTGCGCTTTATACGGTTGCGGCCAGCGTGTAGCGTAGCGTAGCGTAGCGTAGCGCAGCGTAGCGTAGCGCTTCCAGCGTACGCCAGCGGCAATGCCGAAGAGAAGATGCATATCGATCTAGCTTCACCAGGCGTACAACCAGCCGGCCACGCTGGCGTACGCTCAGCGCCGCTAGCGTCGTAGCGCTTTCTCCAGCGTTTTCACCAGCGTCTTTGTAGCGTTGCAGCGGCAGGGAGTAGAACTATGGAGAGTGAGGGGCGACAAAAACACATCGATTGCCCGTATCTCACTCGCCCTTAGTCTCTACAATGCACATCGCTTCTGCGTCTTCGACGGGCACATAGTCTCTACAATGCACATCGCTTCTGCGTCTTCGACGGGCACATAGTCTCTACAATGCACATCGCTTCTGCGTCTTCGACGGGCACATATTCTCTACAATGCACATCGCTTCTGCGTCTCCGACGGGCACATAGTCTCTACTCCCTGCCGCTGCAAGCGCTAGCAAAACGCTGGTGAAACGCTGGAGAAACGCTAGCGTACGCTAGCGTGCCGCTAGCGTACGCCAGCGTGCCGCTGGTGACGCTGGTGAAGCTAGATCGATATGCATCCTCTCTTCGGCACTGCCGCTGGCGTACGCTGGAAGCGCTACGCTACGCTGCGCTACGCTACGCTACGCTGCCGCAAAGTATAAACGCAGCCTAACAATACGGTCTGATTGACCATGAAGGTTTTCTCTCAACATTTCGTTACATCGAACGATATTGGCAGATTGCTGATAACGACAGAACTGATATTCAGTTTTTCTCAAAAAAAAGTGTCGCACCCTGAAGAACTGCTGCAGCGACACCACCATAGAAATCGAAAGTGTCGGCCGAGGACTCGATGTCCACCCGGGCTTCATAAATTGCTTTGCCATTAGTCTTCACCTCCCATCGAGCGATATCTTCGAGATTCGCCTGGAAAGAACAAAGAAGAGTCGAGCTTCGGTAACATTCAACGTGAGTGTCAGGTTTCAAATGGCACATCTGTGGGGTAGGCTCAAAGACAGTTCTCGCGACTAAGTATCTTGCTGTTTAATTATGAACCAATAGCTGATCAGTGCTTCCAAAAAAGAGGGAAAAGCAAACAGAATCTAAAAACACCATAAACGAAACCGCTTCCTGAGGCAGCGTTCAGACTTCGCGACGGCAGCGCTTCGGTCGCGCGTTCGACGCGATCGATGCGCATGCTTTCAACTGCATCGATCGCGTCGAGCGCGCGACCAAAGCACTGCCGTCCACAAGGCCTGCGGTCTCTGTGCAACCCCTGGCTCACAAATCGCTTTTCACATCTCCCAGTATTAAATATCATCCAATGCAAAAAATAAGAGAACGAAAAACGGAAAAACACTGGAGCAAGGCTTGTACCAGAAAGAGAATTGAAAGCTCTGCGTTGCATAACTGGGATTTACAGTTTATAGCGCCACGACCTGACGGGATCGCAGTCAGCGGTTCCAACCTGCGGCCTTCCCACCAGTGGCTGATTCCTTCCTACATCGATCATTGCTCGATCACCATTGGTAGAGCAAGGCAGCCGGACGCGAGCTCGTGCCGCGCTGCGCTCGCCGCCCCCGACAAATTGCAATGTTACAACTACAAGTACTTCTTACCTTGCGTAATAGATTGTTGTTGACTGTATGTGCTCATAATAGCGGCCCTGTGTTAGGTGTGGAGAGGGTACTCGACGGGTGGGCGGTCCAACTGAGTGGGTGTGAGAAGAAAACGCTCGGCGCTTCTCATTCGCTGTGGAGTCACGACAGTGGAACAGTCTCCTAGCTTTGGGGTTGGACCACATGCACAACGACCACGAATTACTTGAAGGCAGTTGGCACAATAAGTCCCTAAGAAGAGTAGGATTAGCACGGTTGGCAGGAAGGAATTCCGCGCCTCTGAGCAGCTGCTGGCGCCATTTCCAAGGAGGATTGTAAGGCACTATCAAGCTGCAACATACCGACCCGGACGCCCACCGCGCCCGCCCGCCCACAAATGGACGACCGTACCTGATGCTCGTATTGCTTCATTTTCGAAATGGAATATGAAGCGAAAGGGTTGACATAGCGGCCGCGGTGTTGCATGGATATATGACTGCATACGTGCAGCCGTATCTACCATGACGGTTCTTGGCAAGATGCCTACGGGAAACTCGTCCGAAATTGCTTTTCGAGTCATTAAGAACGACTTCTCTACGCAGGTTTCTGACCGTTTCACTTCGTTTCTTTCG